CAGAGAGGAGGAACTAATAAAACAGGAGAGGGTGCCAGACAGAGAGATGGAGAAAAACAAAGATTAGTGATGGGCCACAGGGCTGAAGGAGGAATTAAAAAAGGGAACACTGAAGTGGACAAGAAAGACTGAGAAATACCAAAACCATTGATGATCTAAAGGGGAGAGAGAGGGGAAATAAAGAATAGGGACTGGGAGCCAGACAGAGAGAGAATGATAAAGACAAAAGTGGGCTATGGGACAGTGAGGGAAGAAGTTAAAACATAGGGACAGGGACCTGGAACAAGAGAATCTGAGAAAGTAAAAGTGTATCAAGAATACAGGGCAGAGAAAGAGGAATTTAAAAATAGACACCGTGTCAGACAGGTGAGAGCAGTGGGAATTGTGAAGGGCTAAAGGGCAGACAGGGAGGAATTAGCAAGATTGGGATAGGAAGACAGACAGATAGATGGAGAAAGACAAAGTAGTGATGGGCTGTAGGGCAGAGACAGAGGATGAAAAAAAAGAGGGATGGGACAGAACAGAAGTGCAGAGAGGAAAAGAAAACGGAGAGGCAGAACAACAGAGAAAGAGGGGGACTTGGAGAATAAGAGAGGAAGAGGTGCAGGAAGCAAAAAAAAAAAAAAAAAAAGACAGCAGTGAGAGAAAGAGAAGGCAGGGGCAGGGAGGGACCAGGATGCAGAAGAGGGGTGACAGCCCCAGGGGTCCAGGACTCACTGCAGCTCCCGCTCTCAGAGCTGCTGGGATAATTGGACAGTTCAGACACGTCTGTCTCCCTCCCCTTCTCCCTTCCTCCTCTGTAGCTCTGGTCATTTGACTGTCTTCCACCTAAGAGAACAGACTGGTGTCTTACAGCTCTTGCATTATCAGGCTTCCTAGAAACACAGCCTCGCACACGCACACACTACATGGCTGTACTGTGCTTTTGGTTATGCGTACAGACCCTGCCGTGCACGTTGGTGATGGGATCTGCTGAGGACTACGCCAGCAGGGATCCTTCCTCACCTGGAGAGGCAGGCTGTCTCCTGTCTGCAGCTGCTGGCTGCATCCCCTTTATTTTATTCTTCGGCAGCTTTACCTTTCTCTGGCCTCTCCAGCTTCAGCTGCAGCAGCTCCTGTCCACAGCCACTAATCGCTCTGCCTGTCCCCGCTGCAGCAGCAGTGAATGCGGCAAACTCATGTGGGGAAAAAAGCTCCAGTGGGGGAAAAAGCCGGGGGGGGGAAAAACCGGGGGGGGGGGGGGGAAACTCGTGGGGAGACAGGAAACACGGACTGGGGTCAGGGGTAAAGACATGGACCCAGGTGGAGAGGGGGGGTGAAGGAGCAGGGAAGCCATGGAGCCCGGGCTGGGGAAGGGAGGGGACGGGACACAGACCTGGGGGGGGGTGTGGGGAGACACAGACAGGGGCCGTGTGTATGGGTAGAAAGATGCATGGGGGCACATGTGTGGGGATGACCTACACCAGGAAGTCCACCCAGGATATCCACAGCAGAGAACTCACCTGGGATAACCCCCAACAGATAATCTGCTCCAGATAACTGACCCACACTGGATAATCCACAGCGACACCTCTGAAACTGCCCATGTTTCACTTCAAGATTTCCCCAAAGTGAGGGTTTTTTTGCTTTTACATATTTAAAAAATTGGGGTTTTTTGCTCCTTCCATACATTCAATCTGGGGGGGTTTTATTGCTTTTCCACAACACAAAAACTCATGATTTTTGCTTTTGTGCATGAAAATGGGGGGTTTTTTGCTTTCCAGCTGAACATATCGAGGCAGATTTGTCACTCCTGGGACTCCCAAACTGTTGGGTTTTTTTCGCATTGCAGACCCAGATTTGGGGGGTTTGGTGTATTTTTGTGCCATGGCCCTGGCTCCCGCTATGTGTGCCTGGCTTCACAGGGGAAGGGCCCTGTTTGCGGGAATGGGCCCAAAATCAGAATGGAAAAAGGGGGAAAAGGAGAAGGGGCAGCTTTTGAAAGCACTTTTCTATCTTCAATAGAGAGATTTTTAGAGGGGGGGGTCAAGGTTTTAAGTCTTTTCTATAAACAGGGCTTCTTTACATTTTAAAAACTTTATATATCATAGACATTTCCACTTATGTATCTGCTTACACATATATATTCCCTAAATATATCTATGTTATATATATATTATCTATTTCCACTTATAATGACATATTTACATATATATCTATCTTTTGACATGTATATAGTATCTGCATAGACATATATTATCTCTATTTACACTTATGATATATTTTGACAGTTACATGTATGTAGACTTAGATACCTATTTACAATTATATCTGCTTGGACTTAGATATCTATTTACACTTATATATAATCTCTATTTATAAATATTATTTATAATCTCTAGATTACATATAATATCTATTTAGACTTACTGTGTAACACATATTAAATGTGGATAGCTCTATCCAGACTTTTTTCTATTTTAAATTCCTTCATATATAAAATACACCTTTTTTTTGGTTTAGTGTCCTTTCTTTTTTATTTTATATATACACAGGAGCAATAGCTGAACAATGCCAGAGGTCTTGTTCCCATCTAGGAATACCATCTAGATCCCAACTGCAGCCTGCCATTAAACTAAAAAACAAAACAAAACAAAACAAAAACAAACCACAAAACCACCCTAACACTAAGCCCTGCACATTCAAGCCTTAACAGCTTGGATACCCGATCTGCTCGACAACCACTCAAGCAGCCTCTCCCAGAAGGCTCCAGCCACCCCCTCAGCACCTACAAATCACTATGGAAATGACCACCCTTGCCTGCTGCAGACAGCTACTTGACCTGAAATGCACCGCACGGTCAGCGCCTCAACAGTCATAGATGCAGATCAAGGTTAAGCAGAGGCTCTCATTGCCATTCCTCCCGTAGCCCCACCATTGCTACGCCCCCCAGGCAGAGGAGCCGCTACCTGGACACACACAAACACCACAAATGCTGCAACACAGAGATGAGAGAAAACTCTCAGCAAGAAAAATGACTCCCAGATTGCAGACGCTGTCAGGCAGCAAGACCTACTGGGCTGCAAGCACAAGATGAGGAGGCCCTAAGGCGGCCCCAGAGAAAGTCAAACGTCACGATCCATGACAAGATGTTATGGTCAAAACTGAGATGACAGATGTGCAAGAAGCATGGCTCTAAGACCTAAGAACACAAGGACGTGGGAAAGAAGGCCCAGAAAAAGGGCTCTGTGTAAAACAAACGGCTTGAGAGTGGAGCTGACAACAGACTGGAATGCCACCATGGAAGAGACAGTGAAAGACACCAGAAACTTTCGAGACACAAGACCGATCCATGCTTTGAGCTTGTAACACAAGTGAAGCAGCCCTTGATTGGCGCTATGCTGCTGAGTCGACGTGTGCAAGACCCTAGGGATGGCTAGCTACATGCCCACCGGGCACAAAGAACAACAGGAACATCATGAATTCATAAAAGTACGGCATAGAACACAGGAGACAGACTATACAAACTACACAACAGAGACAGAGGCAGGAACTGCCCTGCCCATCAGATGCACATATTTTGTGGAAAGGAATGTGGACCCTCTCTCTGCCCAAAGATGTCCTGTTCCAAACTGCCCTCTCCACTGCACTGAATGTAAAACCCCTTCCTGCCACCCCATGCGTGGATAGTGTTGGCACCTCAACTTAGCTTTGAGCGGGCTGGGAATCGGAATCCATCCTCGACAAAGACCACCCAAGCTAACTAGGATGTCACTGCAATCGCACGGTTCCTCTTCCTCATCTGCAGACAGAGTGCTGGTCAGTTGATTTCATGCCAGTCGACACCGATGACAGCCTCCTCGGAAGCACCGTGGCATTCTGCTCACCTGCTCTGCTCCCAGATTAACAATGGATGTTGCAGCCAACATCATGAGATGAAACAGGCTATACGCATCTGGATCTGGCTTAGTGTGTGGGCCTGCAGCAGAGCCCGGAGTCAGTGGGAAGACAGCCAACGCTGTACGTATCCAACAATCCAAAGAATGTGTCGATCTTGCAATTTTTTGCAAGAGACTGTAGTAAGAATTACACTGCCCTAAAGAACATCCCTCTTACAGCGCAGGGCAAAGATGTAACAGGCAGTATCTCCGTAGTATTTTAAAACCTGACAGTGGTTCACAAAGAGTATTATGAAAAATAACGTTACAAACAGAAAAGAGACCAGTAATCTCAGTAAGATCTCTAAGTCAGTATAACTTTCCCAATTATACTGTTCGCTAGAGTAATTCACTAGACTATTTCCTTTTCAACATCAGTTTGAGAGGTGTACACTCTCCTATTTCCCAGTCCATATTTGACCTTGAGGGAAACGGTCTGCTTTGTACCATTCCCCGCTTCTGGCTCAGGGCTAGTTCCCGTCGCGACAATGTACTTCTTTTACAATGTGCCACACGTATCCAGGCTTTCGTTCCTTCCACGTTCTCTGCCATCTGTGAGGTTAACAGTACTTGAAATGGACCTTTCCATTGACGTGTAAGAGGATTCTTCCTCTGGTGTTGTTTCACATGTACCCAGCCTCCGGCTTCCAGAGTGACATCGCTCCAGATACGGATGGGCCAACAAGGCTTCTTTCATCTGCAAATGAGATTCTGCTGTAACTTTCATTAATGTTTGACAATAGGTTACTGTAACAGTAACAGCAAGACCTGGGAGTCGATACCAATCTCCTTAGTCAGCCAGTAATTATTTGATAGGGACTTAAGTTACTGCTGCCAATACCCTCTGCCTTCATACCCTCCCCGTATCTCTGTTGTCAACTGGGATGGCTCCGGCCCTGCTCAATCCCACCGCTGTCAGGAAACACCCTCTGCACCAAACCGGGGACACCACGCGGCTCCTGGCGACTCACGGGGCTGGGTGTGAGCAGCACATGGTGGCAAGGAACAGACACGCGAAGGCTTTGTCATGGGGTGAGAAGACACTGGCACCTGACATAGAGTTCCAGGTGTGCCACAGAGCGTCACATACGGGATTGCAAACCTGGCAGAGAACTACACGTCCCAGCCTGCACTAGAAGCTAATGTGACATGCCACAGGCCGCGGCATTCTCAAGAGTTCTGACCCTGTGGGGACACCATTCCCCCCCACCGCAGAGCCCAGAGTCCCCAACATGGCCACAGAGGGCTCTACCACGACCGCTCTGGTTCCGGCATGACACGTCATGCCCACCTTCATCCCCAGAACCTCTCCATGACTGCACTGCCACCCCCCCCACACGCCGTGGCCTTCCCTGGGACCCACTCTTCGCGCACAGCCCCCCACACCACCCCCCGAGCTGACCCAGAGCCTTCCCCACCCTTCAGGGTCCTTCCGCTGCATGCCAAACCCCGACTCCCCAGTCACATGCCACCCACATCCCCACCTCCCCCCCACCCACCGGACGCTTTTCCCTGAGCCTCATGCGTGTGTGCCACTTTTGTGGGGGCAGGATGGGACAGGTAACGGGACACAGAAATAAAGACAGAAAAGACAGGGGGAGGAAGCAGGGCAGAGGGACCACGAGAGGAAAAACAGATAGGGAGCAGGACAGAGATGGAGGAAGAAGCAGGAGGCACAAAGAGAGAGAAAAAGACAGGAAGAAGGACAGAGTGAGAAAAAGAAGGGACGGGAAGCAGGACAGGGTGACAGATGAGAAAAAAGGAGAAGGAGCAGGAAAAAACTAGAGGGGGGGAAGGACAGAGAACAGAGAAAGAGAGGGACAGGGAGGCAGACAAAGAAGCGGAGAACAAAAAAACAGTAACACACAGCAGGACAGACATATGGAGCATGAAAAAATAAAGATGGGGAGCAGGAGAGAGAAATAGAGGGAGAAAGATGATGGAAGCAGGAGAGTAGCTGCAGAAGGAAAAACTGATGCTGATGCGGACTGGGATGGGGCAGGAGGAGAGAGAGAGAGAGATGGGACATAGAGATGGAGAGAGAAACCAAAGAAAGGGAACAGGAGAAAAGGTTTGAAAACAGAGAGAAGGTATGCAGGACAGCACAAAGAGGCAGAGAAAGAAAAACTGCAGGGCTCCAACAGAGGAAGAGCAAAAAGGTCCAAGAAGCTGGACAGACAACAAGGAGGGGCGGAAGGGGTAGGAGGGCTGGTAAGGGGACAGCCAGCTGGACAGGGGATACAGCAATTAACAATGAGACAGGCAGCGGGGCAGAGAAAGCTGGAAAAGATAGGGACAAGAAGATGGACAGAATGACAAAAAGAAAAAAGGGACACAGAGCAGGATAAAGACGAAGAAAGAAGCAGAAGGAACAAAGGAATAGTGAGAGAGAAAGGAAGAAGGACAGACTAAGAGAGACAGAAAGGGACAGGGACCGTGACAGAGAAAGAAGAAAAGACTTACAGGAAGCAGGATTGTCAGAAAAAGGGATCAGGATAGAGTAACAGAAAAAAACAGGGCTAGGGAACAGGACAGAAATGGATTTAAAAAACAGCAATGTGCAGCAGGATAGAGTAAGAAAAAAATAGGGATACAGAGCAGAGCAGAGGGATATAGCAAGAAACAATGGGAGTGGAAGCAGTACCAAGCGATGGAGAGAACAGAAAAAGAAATGGGGGCGAAGGGAAAGAACAAGAAGAACAGAGAGAAAAAGAGGGACAGGGACTAGGACACTGGGACAGAAAAAGAGGCACTCTGAACAGGACAGAGACAGAGAAAATAAAAATACTGATAGGAAGCAGGGTAGAATGATATTGAAAGAGAGGGACAGGCAGAGGAACAGAGGAATAGCAAAAAAGAAGGACAAGACAAATATAAAAAAAGCTGAAGGACAGGCAGCCAGAAAATGAAATACAAAAAAAAAGAGAGGGACAGTGAACAGGACAGGCAGTGGAGAGATGGCAGCAGCAGGCAGGCAGGGAGAACGACAGAGAATTGGAGCAGGGGGGGAAGGACAGGGGCACAGAACAGCACAGACAGAGACAGAAAAAGAGGGACGGGGAGCAGGGAAAGAAAAATAGGGACAGGGAGAAGGACAGAGAGGTGGGGAGACAGAAAGAGCAACAGGGACCAGGACTGAGGGATAAAGAGAGGGACAGGGAGCTGGGCACAAGAATAGAGAGAACAGGAGTATGGGTAAGTGGAAAAAACTATAGAGAGGGAAAGAGAGAGGGTCAGGGAGACAGACAGAGGGACAGGGAGCCAGGCATACAGACGAAAAGAGAACAAAAGAGGAATGAAGGACAGTGCAACAGAGAGACGGAGGCAGGGAAAAGCAAAGACAGGCAGGGACCTGGGAGGGGTGGGGGATGCAGAGAGGGCAGGGAGGAACCGGGACGAGGAAGAAGGGGGACACATGCCCAAGGGCCTGGGACTCACCGCAGCTCCCGCTTTTGGCACCATCTGGAGAAACATACAGTTCAGACACTTCTCTCTCTCCATCTCGCTCTCTCCCCCCTTCCTCTTCTGTACCTCCGGTTACTCAACTGTCATCCATCTAAGAGAGTACAGGCAGTGTCTTACAGCTCTTTAAATGCGAGGGTTCATAGATACACAGCATCTCACTCACACACGCGCAATACATGGACGTACTGTATATATTTGGATACATATACAGACCCTGCGTTATACATTAGTGATGTAATCTGCCGAGATCTATTAATTAGGAGCATTCCTCACTCAAAGAGGCAGGGTTTCTGTATTCTGCAGATAGAGGCAGCTTCCAGTTGGATCTGCTTTGCTTCATTCTTCAGCTGGTTCGCCTTTTTCTGTTCTCTTCAGCTTCAGCCACAGCAACTAGTCCTAAAAGACAAATATTAGGCCCTTCCCTTTTCACCCACCCTGCTACAATAACAAAGCAAGCCAGGGACGACGCGAGCAAACCTAAGCCTGACGCAGTCAACGACACCCCCAGAGGAGGATCGGGCAACTTAGTCCTCGGGGCCGCCCCAAGAGACACCCCCGAGCCTGCGACCGCCGAAAGGTCTCCCTCGCCACACCGCTGGTCCCGGCCCTCGCCCGCCGCCGAAAGGAAGGGCGCCGCCATGCTGCTCCCCGCCACCGCGCATGCGCCGTCCGCCGCGCGGGAGGGGCTGGAGGCCGCTCCCGGGACAATGCGCATGCGCGAGCGCCGTGCTCCTGCTCCTCCTACCAGTCAACTGGAGGCAGCGGGGAGGGCGGCAGCGCTGCCGCGCACGCGCAACCCGCACGCTGCGTCACCGCCCTTCGCCAAGCGGCAGCAGCGGCGAGCGCTCGGCAGCAGCTCGCCTGCCCGGCGGCGGCCGTACCGCATTCGCGTCATAAGGCGGCGCAGTACCGCATTTGCGTCATAAGGCCGGCCGCCAGGCCCGCAGTACCGACTGCCGGGACACAGGGGTGGCGGCAGCGAAGGCGGCGGCTCGATCGAGTTGCCGCGGCGCGGGCCCCCCGCAAAAAAGCTACAAAGCGACGGCAGGAAACTGCGCCTCCCGCGCGGACAGCGGCTGGAAGAAAACCTGCGCGTCGCCGCCAGCCCCAAAAACGAACGTCGCCGCCCGGAAGGCCGCTCCCGGCAGACTCCCGCTCCCGGCTTGCTCCGCCGGCCGACGGCTCCCAGAGGCCGCGTTCTCCGCGTCCTGACGCCTCGATCCCCCCTTTCCCGTGCCCCTGCCAGCGGCAGGCCGCAGTGTTTCATTCACCCTCTTACCCACAGCCCCACATCCGTCTCCCAGCCCCTCACGGCCCTTCTGCCGCTCAGAACGCGCGCATTACGGCAGTCAGACATCTCAAGCCACGGGAACCGTGTGGGAGACGAGCCCCCCCGCCCCAGGCAGCAAGGCCAGCGCCTTGGCCCGACACCACTTCTTTCCCTGCAGGATGAGCCCTTCCTGGAACAAACGCACAGCCACCGCCTCTCTGGCCTGCCTTGACTTTGCAGCTGGAACTGTAGGCCCTGCAACAAAGCGAGGACAAGAAACAAAGGAAAGCAGGGCAGGCTAAGGGAGAAGAAAATACCAAAGCAGGCACTAATGAGGGAGAGGGCAGGGCTCTCCCCGCTCCGCTAGGGTGCCCCGAGAAGCTGTAACTGACCCTCCCAGGGTACTGCCGCGTATCCAGGGCCAGCCAAAGGTTTCGGCACCACTCACGCCTTCTGGGGCTGATGTCGCCGTGTCGGGAATCCCTTGCCTTCTAGAAGCACCATGAAGGCTACAGTCATTGCTGTGGTCTTACAGACTGTAAACCCGTGTATCTGCATCTGGCAAAAAGGGCTGCTGAGAGATGACAGTGTTACAAAAGAGGGCTACAAATCACAGCTACCTCCCTGAACATCTAGAAAGCCAAAGCCCAGCTCACCGCACTCCAGCAGGTATGAAGTCAGACTCAGGGTCAGGTTTTGATTTCCATGTGGTTTAATAAGTTAACAGGTTCAGCCATTACACAGCAATGGAATTCTTCTTCAACATTTACAAAGGTGCAAAAACTTCATTCATTTAGTCCGAATTAAGTAATTTTATTCTCATCTCTTAAATAGCTACAGTTCCTATTTTTTTTTCCTCTAAACAATCTGGGGTTAAAATAATCCACCCAGAGAGAAGGCATCAAAGTACAAAAGAGCACGCACAAGGAGGGGTGCTAATTCAAATTCAGCGTGGGTATTTGGTCCGTTACCTGTACGAGCAGGGAAAGGTGGTATGGATCAGTCATGCCTGTAGAAGGAGCTGTGATATCGCAAGTACACAAAGACCTTTTCCAGAAGTTTGACCACCACTGGGATTGTTACTCTACCATGACACCCACCGTGACGTAGGGGGAGGGAGAAAAGAACAATGCAAAAGATCCCAAACACGCAAATGACGCCACCCAGCATTCAAGCATCTCACCAGCTACCCAGAAATGACTCCTCTGCGGGTTTAGCAAACAATGAACCGAGAGAAACCATCACAGGGAGGAAGCTGCATCACTAAAGACAAAAAAGCAGAACGAAAACATTTCTAAGAGTATGTTTTGCTGTGCACCTGCTTCTAGTCTAGAAACAGTGCATGCCTGTGGCCCTTTTATATTGGTTTGAAGAAGTTTTCATTACGCTCTCCTCCACTGAACTGTTTTCCAACTAGCTCTCTACCCAGTAGTCTCCCCTCGCTCTCCCCCACTTCAGCCAATCTGCCTAAAACCCCATCCTTAACTACATAAGCAGCGTGAGGGTGCTTGCAGGGGCACAAGCTGGACTTGCTTGCTCAAGTCTGCCCCTGCGGAGGTCCATGTAAGAATATTTTGTGGATGCCACAGAAGCTAGTAAGGCTGCTCTCCTGACCCACCAGTCGGCTCTGTTGTCCTCAGTCACTTTGCAGCGTGACCACTACAGGCATTCACAGGGCATGCAAACACATGTGCATGCACGCAATCCCTCTGCCCTCAAATACATGTGGCCTTCGAGCACCCTGTCCAAGTATCGGGCCTCAGTCAGACATCCATCATGCTACAGCCTACAGCACCCCCAAAACAGAGGCTTTGCGGTTCCCTCCATTTCTTCCCATGCCCGTTTTCTCTCGCCTCAAGAGGATACCCTTCATGGGCTGACACTGAGGGCTTTTTCAACAGGGAGGCTCTTAAACAGCCTTATCAAAACACAGGGAGAGGATGTATCCAGACAGAAATATACTTACAAGCAGACTTAGAGCTAGAGAAATCTATTTTCTTTGGAGAAGTAAAAATACATGGCATAGGTAAGTTCTAGTAACTCTGTTCAGCCAAAATAGGAAAAAAACCCAAAACCAAACAAACCCCCCCCCAAACCCAAACAAACCCAAAACCCAAAAAAAAAACAACAAAACCCAACCCAAACCCAAAATGTATACTTTGGCTTCATTTACCAGTCACTGTTTCTACTTCTGTAGCTGGCAGCAGAACACAGCATTTGGAACGCAGGCCCTCATAAGCAGGTTGAACTCCTTCAGAAGCCTCCATGCATTCAAGCTTGCTGCTCTGCCGCTCCTCTTCCCCCATATATTCGGTCGAGGACCGATTTCACAAGGTGCAAATATTGAGCCTACCCTGAGACAGCAATCTGGCAACTGCAGATCATTTAAGTCCAAAAAGTTCAATGGTGGCCTGCACCGCACACTGGGGTTGCTCCGTGGTCCCAGGCATTATGAAATGCCACAGACCCCGCAAGGGCACCGAGGTGAGGGCATGGGTATCCAGAAGAAGTTAAACAGGGATTTCAAATAGCATTTCTTCTGTCATAAAGCCAGAAGCACAAGCAGGTATTAAATACAAAAGAGATTTCTTTAAGCAGCAGTTCTATGGGGGGAAACTTCCCTGGAACTGTCTTTATAGTTTCTGGAGGCCAAAGACCTACGCGACTTTCCCTTTCCTTCCGAGGAGATTAGGATAGAAGAATCGTTTCTCACAGCAATAATCACACCTCCCCCACAAAGCGGATTCATTACCATTCTTAGCTTCGTGAAGCTGGGAGTCACCTGTGCTCGCATAGCTGGGACTAACAAAACCAGCCGCCTGCTACTTGGGGGATGAAAACAACTGTGCGTGTGGGAAAGGAAGCCATGTATGGATACAAAGAGAAAGGATCAACACGTTAATTGGGAGTGTATCAGAACTAAAAAACTCCCAGTGCACACAGCTGAGCCATTCCCCCCACCCCTCTGTCCCTCAAAGAGTCGTCTACCCAAACACTCTGAAAAACATTCTGCACTTACTGAGAACATTTAGAAGAAGATAAAAGGTTACGATCAGTCCTACACTATATGACTTTGAGAAGAAATGAAATGGCAGAAAGTACATCTCTGCTAGCAAACACAAGCGGGTGCAGGAATTAATGTTTGGGGATGCGCTCTGTCAGCACTTCACAATATCCTTTTCCTTTGCTATCTGTCTAACCAGACACAAACTTTCATAGCAATTTACTGCCCCTGATAAAAAGCACTGCCAAAAATTCAAGGGAAGATAGATACCAACTGCCATGCATCCCATGTGCCGTTTGTTCCACAGGCTGCAGTGCAGGCGATTCCCAGATGAGACTTCTGCCAGGTCAAAGCTCAAAATCAAAAGCAGTACCTCCGCTGCAATTCATCAATAGCCCGGAGCCAACAAACCGGGAACAAATTCAGGAAAGCCCATGGACGTGTGGCAGGAATTGCCCATTTAACACGGCCAGAAAGGGATCCTTGGTCCCCAGGGCCAGTGAGGAATGCAAGTTTTGGTTTTACTCCTAGCTTTCCTATCGCCTCCTTCCTCTGAGCCAGGCTGAAATATTCTGATTGAAATCTAGTATGTGTTTGTCAGACATGAACCTCGCTCGCCTTTTCCGCCTCTGGACTACAGCAACAAGGACAACGCTTGCTAGCCCTTGCAGACCTCCTCATGTACACGAGCCCCAGACTCACGCTGTGGAAGCACGGGTGGGAGCCTCAGGCGTTTGCCTCCAGCTGCTCTGCACCGAGACAGCTTGAGCTGCTCTTACTGTGTAGAGAAAAGAATACAGGACTATTAAACGAGACTTGTGGAAGGTGATAAACCCACAACTGAAGAGCTGCTGGCTCTTCTCAAAGTTCCTTTCCATTCAAACCAGCATTTCTGATGGAAGGTTTCACAGCCATCCCACTAGAGAAGAGGTGCTGTCTGGGCTCAGCCAGCACTTCTCATTCAAAGCAACTGTGCTGGTTTTGGCTGGGGTAGAGTTAATTTTCTTCACAGTAGCTAGTATGAGGCTATGTTTTGGATTTGTGCTGAAAACAATGTTGATAATACAGGGATGTTTTAGTTATTGCTGAGCAGTGCTTACACAGCATCAAGGCCTTTTTTGCTTCTCACCCCACCCCACCAGCGAGTAGGCTGGGGGTGCACACAAAACTGGGAGAGGACAGCTGATCCCAACTGACCCAAGGGATATTCCAGACCATATGACATCATGCTCAGCATATAAACCTGGGGGAAGGAGAAGGAAAGGGGGATGTTCGGAGGGATGGCATTTGTCTTCCCGAGTAACCCTTACGCATGATGGAGCCCTGTTTTCCTGGAGATAGCTGAACACCTGCCTGCCAATGGGAAGGAGCAAATGAATTCCTTGTTTTGCTTCAGTTGTGCACATGGCTTTTGCTTTACCTATTAAACCATCTTTATCTCAGCCCACAAGTTTTCTCATTTTTACTCTTCCAATTCTCTCCCCCATCCCACTGGAGGGAGTGAGTGAGCAGCCATGTGGTGCTTAGTTGCCAGCTGGGGTTAAACCACAACAGCAACCTTGACATTGTATTAAAAAAGAATAAACAAAAACTGAAAACAGGGCATCAAGTACTGTTAGCGACAGAGGCAGAGTCACAGCAGGGATGGTGCAAGAGAGAATGCCAAACTGGAACCAAACCCCAAGGCTCTGGGAGCAAGGCCATGCCTGCAAAGGACAGCGCCGCATCAGATGCCGCACCAACCCAACAAAGGAAGGCTATATCAAACCGGTGACCGGATTGTTAGAGGCGAGCCACAGATTGCCAACTTCCAACAGTGCTGCAGCAGGAACCGGTCACTTCCATCAAGGAAAATGATTTTCAGCGAGAAATGGCTAGTGCTCTGACATCTGCAGCGCACGGAGCTGCAAACAAAGCCACAGAACCGTGCAGATGAGGAAAGAAACAAAGGATAAAAGACATGAAAGAGCTCGGGGATGACGAAAAGACTCCCGGACCAAAACAAACAGATGGAGAAGAGATTCCTGGTCAGCCAGCTGGACCAGTCCAATTTCTCACAAATGCCCAACCTCGCAGGGAATCAGCAGGAAAAACAGGAAATAGAGTCCCTCCTGCTAGCACACACTGGCATTTTCAATCCAAGCCCTGGGTGACTCTGGCCTTCGCTACCGCCAGACACTTTCAAGAGATGCCCCAAAATTCCCAGCTGCAAATCCTTCCACAGCAGCATACCAAACACATTCCAGTCTTTGGAAATGGCACACGACAGCCATATCTGTAAGCCAGGATTTGTCCTTCTGAAGATCACATGTTGTTTTATGTGCACCATCAAGAGAACAACTGCTTTTTCAGTTGGTCACATCCTGTGCAAAGCGGGGCAACAGCCCCCACCTCAGGAGGTACTGTAATAGGAGGGCAGAGCTAGCGAATCCAGTCAGGCCCAGACGACTGCTCTTCAGTGAGGTTTTTCCTCCCCTTTGCCCCATCTCCTTAATTCTACAACTCACAGGAGAGCAGGAGTTTCCATTGAAACCAGGCGCGCTGACAGGGCATGAGTGTTTCTCCAAAGAGCATCATTACGCTATCCGAACTGGGCCTCTGGGGTTATTCACAATGCGTGCGCATCAGGAGACTGGAAAGTGGTTCGCCTGGAAGAGCGGTCTCCTCCTGTGCAAGGAGTTGATTTTCCCCTGCATACCTCTCCCTCGGCAAATACCCGCTGTGGAAATGCCCACTGCTTGAACATGGTGGATCGGGTTTGCTAGAAGAAAGGAAATACCAGATGCAATCAAGAAAGGCTCCTTCTAGAAGCTACAGGAAACCGTTTCATCAAGTGAAAACATGTAAACTCTTGCCTCTTTCCGTCACATGGATTCAGGCTCCACATCGCTTCAGGCTCCATGTCAGACTGCCCTTTCGCTAGCATCACCACGTTTCTCGCCATCCATCCCCAGCACAGCACCGGTCCTTGGCGCAAGAACTGCAAGAGGCCAGGTGCTCCGCAGGTCCAGAAGACAGCCTGATGCCCCATCGGCAATGCCCCCCAGGGAAACAGTTCCGCTCGTACAATGGCTGGTGCGCACATGCAGCAGGGGCCCTTCCCCGTTCAAGAACATGGATGTGGAAGGAGAGCTGCATCACAGCATGGCAGCACCGACAGCACCGACCAGACATTCTTGCAAGGGCCTGGGCTTCTACAAAAACTCGCACAGTGGTTAAAACTTCCTTCTTTGAGATTCCTTCCTTCATCAGCATAGCACAGAAAGCAGGCATCCGTCAGCGCTGTCCAACCCAGAGACTGTTCCAATGGCAGAGCCAGGTGGAGAACCGCAGCTTGTTCTCCTGCCAGCTCACCGCCCAGGAACGCATTGCCCCACACCATGCCTCAGTCAGGTTAGCAGAAGCAACGAGAGCATTTAGACGGCCAGTGACCGTGTCATTCTCTCTCACTGGAAGAGCCAAGTGAGGCTACAGCCCACACTTCTTGGCAACATAGCTAACCCAGTAGTTTCTCGATCTTTAACTCTGATGGTCGCCACCTGAGAGCCATGCCCCACCCCTTTCCAGGACACACCAGCGATGCCAGACAGCTACACAGACAGAGTTGCTTCTGCAGCTCCCAGGACCCCCGCTGGGATTAGCACGCCACCTGGATTTTTCTGGGAGAGCACGGTGGGGTACGACAGTCGGAGAAGGATAAGCCAAGGCAGACGAGCAGCCTAAGCCCCAGGTTCGCCACCTCCACTCCCCAAATAGCATAAAGCACTGGGGTATCTTCCCTCAGCCAAGGTTGGAAGGAACTGGACAGCAGGTCACAGATACCGCGGAGTGGGAAGACAGGAGACTAGAAGAAAGATCTCTGCGCAATCATTCTGACGGGCTTCTCCTTCCTTCAGTTCTCACCTGCTGTTGTGCTGTCGCTAGCTTTGGGTTTGGATTTAGACTTGAAGGAGAAGCGTTTGATGAGGCGGCGGGAGAAGCTGCCGGCTTTCTTCCTGGTGGCGGAGTTGGCGGTGACGTTGGACAAGTCATCGTGTGACTGGCTCAGGCCCGCTTCCTTCTGCTTGCTCCTTCTCCGGAAGATGAGCTTGGTACCACTCCGAAGAAAGCTAACTGCAGAGACAGAAAGGAAGGAGACGGAAACCACGATAGTATCCTGCCCTGGCGAGTCTCAGGGGTGGCAACGCCCCCAGCCGCTCTCAAATGAGTGGCAAAGACCTCTTCCACCCCGAGTGGTGGAAGTACACAGCAGGTCGGTAAATCCCAGCTCCCAACTGCAAGGCAAAGTCTACGTTCAGGACAGACTGCAACACCAACAAGCTGCTTCACTAAGCACACTGTCACGCATCCCCTCTGCGTAAACTTCCTTTTACACAACAATGTCCTCCCTTCGCTGGAAGTGTGCAGAATTGTTATAGAAAGCTAAGACTCGTATGAATGGAAAACAAGTGAGAATGTCTCCACATGCAGACACTGGGAGGAACACACAACAGGGAAGAGGCCTCTCAGACTAGCCTGTCTCAAGGGCGCCCAGATTAGCCAGTCATCAAGCCCCTGAAACAACTGCCCACAGTTTCACACGATGCCCAAATCTGGAGACAAATAACGGCAATGACTCCGGAGCGGGCAGGACAGGATGGAGATGCCGATCGCCATCAGCCCCAAACAGGTGCAAAAAGGCGTATCCAAAACCTGCACGCCATACAAAGCTACAACAGTATTACCTACAGAGGGGGCTTGCTTTCTGTTTTCTTCCTTCTCTTCCCCACCCGCCAGGTCTCTCAAGAATCTGGGCTACACACCTTTCTACCCGCTGACGTGCAAACAGGGGGCCACCACAGTTCAAACCGTACCTGGTTGTACCAGGGTACAACCACCACAAAACTCGTCCCACTCCTGTATTCTGAGCAATTGAGATTTTGGCTTGCGTTTTGGCTTTGTTTATGTAAGTTTGTAGCTAACAGAAACCGTCATAGCTACAAGCAGACAAATCCAAGGTGCGCCATCCTCCTAATTGATGCAAGCCTGGAAAGTCCAGAAAAGCAGCTCTGTCAGGGCAGGCCCGCTCTATCATTTAGAAGCAGGGAATTTGTGTGGACATCCTACGATACGACAGGTCAGAGGTGCTAGCTGCTTTGATGCTAACAGAGAAAGAGGGAGGACATCGAGGCCCGTACAACCCACACTGTCGGGCAGCCTCCCTTTCCACGCTAGAGTCAGCCAAATTCAGAGGAAGGATCATTATTTACGGACGTGTGCCTGATCTGCGGACCCAGAGGCCAGGGAGAGAAAACAGGTTCTCGGGAACACACAAGCTGCGCAGGGTTCCCATCTAAGAGAGCACAGAAACTGAAAAGGCCACAGGAATCAGACACCTACAAATAGAGGAGTTTGGAAACGCTCCAGTGGGAAGCATGGGAGAGAGACAGGCTCTTCCAGGCCCCAGCAGAAGCCACTCTTTGCCGTGTCAAAAGCTAGCTGCAGCCCCCACGCTCGGGCAGGGAACTTGAACATCACTTTGTCCTCAAGCACCACAGGCTAACACCACAGGCTAACGTTAGCTACCGTTTAACAGTTCATCCTTACCTTTGTGATCTTTTAAGCTCCTCGTCTCAAGGGCTCCTGTGGAGCCAGTTTCAGACTCAACATCTTCCACTGATGGTCTCTCAGAGACATCTGATCGCGTCGTCTCATCCAGCTCCTGGCTGGCCCTTTGTCCCGATGGCAATGCTTCTAGCAGCTGTGACGATTCAGTAGAATCGTGCATCCTGTCAGTCACACCCTCTGCCGCCGAATCCCCATACGCCGTGGCCTCCAGAGATGCAGCATAACCCAGAGAAAGTGCCATTTCATCTTGAGCAATAGGTACCTGGAGGGGGGTCAGACAGACAGGGTCTAAAGGATCACATTCATCTCCCATCTTCCATCCATACCTACATATGGATGCTCCAGTTCCGATCATCAGTGCTAGACAGCACCAATGCGTGATCGTCATGCTTTTGCTGGAACACACTGGAACGTGGCAGATTCCAAAGCATTCTGCAGCACCTCCCTCACTCCCGTAGGCAAGTCCAAGGAGAACTCCTTAGATTCTCCACGAGGTTCCCAACTGGCTACGGCAGCAGCCTCCCTTTCTGCGGCTGCCCTTTGTGAACTCCCAATGGCAGCTGCCCTGCAGACTGGCAAGGTACCTTTGACACTCACTGGGAAGCAGCGACAAGCTGCAAGGAAGCAGCAAGAGGGTTCTGCCAAGCAAGTCGTCTGTGCTGGAACCTTCCCACACTGGTCCCTACAGGACAGGGTGGTTTCACACACACATCCCTAGAAACAACCTCCCAGATTGGAAATGGAGTCCCCTAACTACCAGAGACCTTGGAAACTCCCGAGATGATCAGCGTGCTACGTTTTGTTGGGGTCTTCTTGGCGGGCTTGTTATTCGTCTCGGTTAGCTGCCTGATCGCCGTCTCAGCCACCGGATCCAAGCCATTGGGCATACGGCTATCCCCTGAGCACAAGAAAGATACCAACGCTTGAAGTAGCAGCCTTCAGCACGGGCAAGAGGTCGCTTGCTGATCATGATGCTTGTAATAGGCAACTACACATGCACAAAGGTAGAGAACAGAATTTATTATGGACTTGCCCGAATAAACCAAAGGAAGGAAGCTCCATATAGGTCTCGGCTCTTTTAGGCACCTGAAAAGTTTCGTTTCCTACCAGGCATATCGTTAAAATATCCTTCCCTCTCAACAAAGACTTCCAAAGACTCCCAAGAGTTTGGGCAGCCTTGGCCATAAACCATCAATGCAGCTGCAGCGCTCTGTCCTGGAGACAATGAGAGCCCCGAGTACACGGTGAGCAAAGCTCTTTGGGTCCGGATAGCCCAGAATGTTCTTGTCAAGCAAGGAAACACCCAGAGTCATGGACTGGATAGCCAAAGTGGAATTTCTTTTACCTGTCCCCACCTGCCACCACCCCTCCACCTCACCTTCACTTGGGCATTCTCTTCTGCAGCAAACGCAGATGAGTTCAGTGACCCACATTCAGACTCCTACTCTCCAAAAAAGGCTAAGGAACACAGTTGCTCCGGTAAGAGCCTTGGATTTCCAAGCACTTACGGCTACTGCTGGGCAAGGGGCTGCGAGGGCAGCCGCTCTCCAAAAGCACTGTTGTCTTCTTTTCAGTCACTTCCACCTTGGAAGGAGACCTCGATGGTGAATCTTCATGGCAAAAGAAAGGCAGAGACACAGAGACACCAGTAAACAGAGGCGAAGCTTAGGCAACTTCGCTACCGTATCGTGGTCCCCTACATGCACCCCCCAAAAAGCCTCAAGCGCACACAGAGAGCCTGCAGAGGCTGACTCCATGAGGCTTTGCAGCAACAAAGTAGTAAGAAGCGTATCGGAAAAAGACATGTGAAACAGCCCCATCGCAAGACCCTGTTCATGCCATTTCCCAGCCCCACCTCGTGGAATATCCAGCACCACATTCATCAGGACGTCAGACTGCAAGCAGCAACAACCACTAGTAAGCAAGGTCAACATGCTTTCAGCTCCGCATTGAGAACATACAGCATAACTTCTTCAGCAGTGAAGAAAATAGAGGAAGAGCGGCACAACGCTTAGCTCGACACCACACAGAGGTTACGCAGTGGCATACACGCTAGAGTCAGGATGTCCCACCACCAAAGGGTATCAGAGAGGCTCATCCCTCTCTCACCTCCCCCCAAACACAGGGTTGCATCAATTCCTGCGCCCCAAGGCCACACACAGGTCTCCAGCCAGCCACAAGACACTAAGGGAACGGCGACAATGCCCATGTTCCGACCCAGAAGCCAAAAGCACCACACGAGGTGCAAGTCTGCAACAACCACAACAGTTTTGCTACCGCAAGCACAAGCGGCCTTGGGAATATCGCAGCTGAGTCTGCACCCCCACAGCGGCCACCCATACAAGACCCCTGTTGCGGGGCAGCCTCACCCAGTTTGCAGTCTGCCTTGGGCCGGGACTGAATCGTGGTGACAGTAGTCACAATGGTGCCGTCGGGCATGATGGTCCGGTCCATCTCCACCTTCTTCGTGGGAGTAATGCTGGTTCGCAGAGATGTGGCGTGCTGAGCATTCAATGATGTGGGAGACTCCTGGAATAGCAGCTACAAAGAGTAAAGCACAGCTCAGAGAGGCTCTACTCCTCCCAGATGGAAAGGCAGGCATACGGGTGACAAAAGCGACTGCTCTGGGCACCGAGGAGCCATCCCTGCTACATTGTCAGTTGAACAGAGGGAGGGTCAGGGACTGAGGGCCAGGCAACACCCTTCCTTGGCCTAAGGGTCTGCCAATCCCCTGTGACGAGCCCAGGCGCAATCAGGCTCGTCTCCAGCTAGAGGCTCACATCACGAACGCTTTCAGAGCACACATTTGGGCCCAGCTTATGGAGTAGTGAGCTCACCTCCAATATAACAGTAGCTTCAGCTGCCAGTGACCGCCCAGCTCCTGGGGCCAGTGAGCAGACCTGTCTCCCAGATGGTTGTTTGGCCAAAGAATCAAGCAAAAGTGTGGCATGTGCCAGCAGCACATCTGTGAGAACGAACAGGAAAACAAAACACACCACATGACCTCGGCACCTCAGATGTCTCCCAGGCAACCTCTGCTTTTGGGAAGCAGCCCTGTGGGCCAACGAAGCAGATCCCCACAACTCCGGTAGCTCCCAGGTTTGAGGCGGGGAGGGGGCAGGCAGCACTCCTCCGCTCCTCTTCACCAATCCAGAAATTGACTGCCTTAAAGAGGTGGCCATTGCACAGCCTTCCTCAAACACAGGTGCTGTGCTTAGTCCCCGATGGAGGACAAATGAAAAGAGTTAAGAGCCTTCTGCAACATTCTTCCAATACACAGGGACAAATCCCCACATCCCTCTCCCCGCTTCAGAGTGGAGACTGGCGGGCCACAGGAACCTCCCGGCTACCAAAAAGATCAGAGTAAGAGCGCTTCACTAAGAAGAACAGACTCCAGAGTTACTTCATGCAGTCAGAGGCTCACATAAAGACAGGTATGAAAAATCCTTTGCAGAGTTCATCATGCATTGTACTGACACAGAACTACCACAGGCTCAAAGCACAGAAAGTCCCTTAGGCATTTTTGTCTCCCCGTCTTACAATGCATCTTACGGTGGTCCATACTCACTTCCCCCTCCATCACTGCTCCCCAGCACCTGTAGCTTCAGCTCTTTACTTCTAGGTCCCAACTCCCTGCGGAAACAGAAAAAGACAAGCTGGTATTAGGCAATCTTTGCAAAATGGCCCCGGAGCAAACAACCCCATTCTGTATCTTCCCTCTCTCAAATCTCACACACTTTGTCACCTTTCCCAAAGCTCCAGCATATGCATGCTACTTTGGAGGACACAATAAGGGGCAGCAAACTACACAGAAGAGGAAAACTCTGGTTCGTGTCCCCTGCAGGGCTGTGTAGGCTGCCAGGGGAAGCTGAGAGGCGAATCTGTCTGAAAGGCCAAGATTTACACTCCGGGCCTTCTGCACACACTGCCCATGATTGGCGCTTCTGCCCATCCAGTTAAAGGGGATGGCATCCCAAGGAGCGGGAAATACATATGCAAGCTGGGGCCAATCGCCAGAATTGGTAGCCCGGCACGCGGGCAGCACAAACACATGACGCCCTGCAGCACAGACTTCACCTCTGCACCATCCGCATCAGTTACTGCGGCACGGTAACGACACCCAGAGACCGTGCCGGTCTGCCTCTGCCGTGCTGGTCAGAAAGAGGGCAAACACTTACAGAAAGAGGTCCTCATTCCACTCCATCTCTGCTGCAGCACCCGCACTGCCAGCTGTCACCGGCCTCGTCCGCTTCTGCTGTGGCGGGCTGTCCAGCTCTGCCACGCAGCGTATCTCCCCAACTCCTGCAACAGAGGGACAGAGCCCACACATGATCTCATCAACACTAGGCAGCGGCTTGGTGGACACATGCCCCTCTTTTCCGTTCAAGCCCATCCAAAACATACCCTGGGCTCCAATCTCACCGCCTGCATGCTCGCCCCTGCAGATCAGCAAAGTTTTCATGCTTACCTTCCTTCTCCTGGCAGCCCAAGTTCAGCACTCGAAGATTCCGGAGCAACAGCTTAGAACCCAGAGGGGCTGCTTCTCCTCCGGACGGGGACTCTCGAGTCAACTTATTGCTGGGTACCTGAGGAATGACAAGAGACGGATGCCTTTATTGTTCACTTGGCAGCAGACAGACACGTGATGTTTGTCCTTGCATCTACCAGGTAGCTCCTCACACAAACATACGTGAATACCCACAGAGCCATCAAGAGATGCTGCAGGTTCCCCAAGCTATCGGCGTCCGGTGGGCACCCATGTTATTTCAGATGGAAAATTTAAGGCAGACGGGAAAAGAGACAGACAAGAACAAGCTTGCTGGCTGCCAGTCGGACAACTGAAGACGACAAACCACAGACCATTCCATGCCTGCAAAGGCTGCCCTGGGCGGAGCCTTGGCGTTCAGAGCAACAGAGAGACTGCTGAAGCAGAGATGCGTCCCAGGCAGTCCAGCTCCACCTCAACACAAGTGGCACTTAGTGTTCAGGAAACAAGATACAAACAGAGCTGCCCTTCGGAGCAGTTTCTAATTATCCCTACTCCCCATGCCACAATAACCCAACTCCTATGACAGCGCAAGCCAGGATGCGGCTGTCACCCAGAGGTGAGTAGCCTCAACCCTTGGACTCCTGCCTGAGCCTCAGCCCCCAGAAGAGCCTTGGGGCACAGTGTTTGAGGCACAAGAAGAACACAAGGAGAGAGCCTTACCACACCGGCTCCAGCAGTGCAGGCCTTCAGATTCACCATCATGGCTGGCTGTGTGCTGACAATGGTATCCTCGATCAGATCCTTTATGGTGGACAGATCCACTCTCCCTTCATTCTTCTCTCCGCAAATCAGGAGAAAATGCAGGAAAGTCATAACAAGGCAGACACATTCTCTCCTTATACAGCCCCAACTGCCTCTCGAACCTCTAAGACACTACACAGTCTTCCTCCCAGTAATAATGTCCCAGGTACTCTTCCCATATCCTGTACTCGCTCTCCCCAGTGCTTAAAGTTTCCATGTAACAGCTGCAGGCAAATGTAAGTTGTGTAAATGAGGCAAACTAAGGCTCCACATCTGTAGTCTGTCCATGGCAAATTTTGACAATACAGCTTTTACAGTTTGCCACCTCCTCACCACCTCGTGAGACAGTACTACCACACTTTCAGGAGAACAGCCAAAATCCTACATCTATTCAGGATAAAGCAACAAGGGTGTCAAAAAAACAAACAAATTAACCAACCTATTTGGATCACAGAAGCGCAAGCAAGCCCACATTCAGCTCGTTAAACCTCTAATACCCACGGGTTCCCCACACTAACCTCTGAAAAAAACCCCAAACAAACAAAAGAAACCAACTAACAAACAAACAAAAAAACCCCTAACCAACCCAGCTCATTTTGCAGCTCTACACCTGACAACGCAGGAGGACCTACATAGCCAGATGGCCTTTTTTGCTATGCAGACTCCCCTTCAGATATTATGCCAGACTCGGACAACAGACATGAGAACCTGCTTCGGCCCTCTTGAGGATGCACTGTTTTGACAGAGTTGAGCTAGTATCGACTCCAGGGCGAAAGAATCCCCTTCCTCGCCCTAAAGGGCCACAATAGTGAGTTGCCAACCCCTCCCCTCTGCATCAGCTTTCCTCCTGGCTCGGTGCTGTTTCTGCCCCTCCTGCCCTTCCTCCACTCGAGTCCAGCCTCCCACTCTTTGCCGCTCACCTCGCGAAGTTGAAGTCTTGGAAGAACTGAAAGGTTCAAGTCTGGTCTGTCCTTGAACATCCACGACACCAGGAGACCTTCATTCTGTATCTCCTCCAAGTGGATCTCCACCTGGCCCAGAACAAATACCCATAGTCAGGAACGGTTTCCGTTTCCATTAGGTGCTTTTTGCTCTGCTTCAAATTCAGCAACTGAAAGGCCCTCACACCAGTGCAACAATAAGAGATAGAATGTAAGAACACAAGTAGTCCCGGGCCTATGGGAAGAAGCAGCTGCAGAAGCCTCATTGCTCTGTAGCAAGATCTGGCTTCCTCTCTGCCTTTGGATGCCCACGTGCCATCAGAGGGAAAAATAATAGGTTATTTCTACGGCTGAAGAAGCAGCCTGCAGGACAATCCAAAAGACCGAGTTGGGCACTGAAACAGGGTGTTTACTGAGCTGCATCAATTAACCATTGCCAAACCTAAGTACGGCCATTTGTAAGTTAGCAATGAGTCTCTAGGAGATCATCCTCAGACTGAAAACTCATCCAGGCCACCAATAGTCTGCCACCAGCAACAAACCAGACTGTACACCATCCCGTAGTTCAGCTGAAAAGTTGCACACCCATACACCTGACAGGCATCGTTAATGCAACAGACAGAAACAGAATCACACAGAAAGAACTCCTGACCTGGTATCTCTAGGAAAAACAGGGGAGTTAAATTTAACATAGCTCTAAAGCAATTGACATACTGACATTTATTTACCATGAACACAGAAGGTCGACAGTCAAATGTGACAAATCTGGGACACGGTAGCCAGATAAGCAACCAACACGGTGTGCATAAAAAAGGCAAGGCACAACTGGGGATACATACTCAAAGCATTCCAACCAACAGGCATACGGTAACCTTAGCAGCATTTCACAATGCAGCAGCAAGACCTCAATTAGAATACCACATGCAATTCTCTACAAGAACAATCAACCCAAAACTTCAGCAGGCACAGACAAGGAGACCTAGAAAATGCCAGTGAGTAGAGGAGCAATTTGATGAGATGTGACAAAGGCCACCTGGCTCCCAGAGACTACACAAAGATGAAAAGCGATGGCAGTTGCCACCCACAACTACATCAGCAGCAGGCACACCAAACGCTGCGGAGAGAGAGAGAAGCTATTTAAATGACCATGGAACAGAGGCACAAAACCAAACTGGGATGATCTGATAAACATTGGTTGAAAATTTCACTAAAGCTTCTGAGAGCAAAGGCATCCTAGAACAACATTCCAACTGCAATAGCATGGGATCGGCTTCTGCTACCACAGAGTTACTTCTGATTTTGCCATGTCTCCCTACAGCGAGACGAGCCCGTGGTCTCCAAGCGAGATACCGTCTCCAGCATCAAGCCCTTCTTCACAATGGGAACAAAATCACATTCCAGAGAAGCAAATCCAGCCACAAAGTGACTGCGGAGCTACCACCCATTGCAATTTCACAGCGCTTCTGTTCTGGAAGAAGCATCTCACACAGAAAAAGTCTGTATCAAACTCTTGTGAATGTATTAAGGGGAGCACTGACAAGCAAACCACTCCTCACTGTGGATTTCTTTTTCACACCAACAACCAGGACAACACCGTAATCGTACATACGCACAGGACACATCTTTCCCTATCCATCACACCGCAAGGGGAATTGAAATCTGTGGACCTTTTGCTTCTCAAACACCCCCTTAAAAACACAGTATAGAGCGCTGCCATGCCTCAAATCTCTCTGGATTTTGTTATGGCTACGTTACATGGCCAAGATCTGCAAAATGAGACTCAGAAAACAGGACTCGGCATGGAGATTGGGAATATTTGCCACCCCACCAAACGTTAGTGACAGCACGCTGCTTCTTCCGGCACAAGGCCTTTATTTGCACTAAATCAGGTCCTCCTTCCTTGATCAGCATGGGGCCGGGTGAAAGAACAAGTTCAACGGCTAACTTTTTACAACTGTTACCTGAGCCTGCAGCACAGCCAAAGTGACATGATAGGTGTCCACAGAAACAGCAGCTGGGGACTGCTGAGTAACAGAGACAGGGAATTTCACAGCTTCAGCTGACAGATGGCAGTACAGCACCTAGAGAGAAAAGAAAGATGAGTTTATATCCTCGGTGAGAGGCAGCCGTGCAATGGCAAAACCTCTAAAAGCGATGGGCAAGGTTTACCCGTTGTGGCAGGAAAGAAACATCAGGCTTACTCCCAGACCCAGTTCCGCCCTGCCAACCTGCCGTTTCAGACTCTGTACATGAGGCAGTAAAGACCTACTGGTGACAGGAGCTCTCTCCTCCACTCCACTGTAGGAACCCAATATTCAGGCTTGGCATCCATACGCCCCAGCTCCAGCAACACATCTGCCACCGGGGCTCTCCCAGAGATCACCGATGTGCAGTCCCAGAGCCACAATCTCACGAGCTTGTCGACAGACCTCTGAAGTCTACAACAGATCTTGCCCAAAACTTCCCTGGTTCCATCATCCCCATCGCGCAGGCCTCAGCAATCTCCATAGAACACACTGTCAGTTGATGGAAAAAACCCACACTGTACAATTCAGAACAGCAAAGCCTTACCATGCTGTGGTCCGACTGCCCCTTGCACGTCACGCGACTTATATTTGCGGCTGGTGGTAACAGAGGACCCTCTTCAAATGTGATCTGCACTGAACTCTATGAAAAAAAGAAGTTTGTTAGTTCCCAGTGGTCAAGGTACCCCAGATCGTTTCAAAGAAGACAACTGATTCTGATGTGGGGCCCTAGGGACACTCCAGTCCATTTCCATGAACCCAGCCAGCATGGGGAACCGTCACACACTGCAATTCTACCCACTTCAGCTTGTCCATACAGAGAAAGGAAACAAGGTCTCCAGTCAAGGCTTAGAGTTGCAAACACTAAGTTAATTTCAGACAGGCAAGCCCAAATGAGAATGGAAAATTGTTCTGGATAGCAGTCAGCTATAAGTCAAGCGTGTGAACCCTTCTTCATTGCAAAAGCTTTGGTGTTTCTTCTCTCTCTCTTTCTCTCTCCCCTCTCTGTGCTAATCCTGCCCCAAGTAAAAAAAACAAAACAAAACAACAACCCCCACACACACCACAATACCAATCAACAACAACAAAATCCACCCTCAGCATACGGTACATCAGCTCCTGTGCTTGACTCATTCCCTTTTTCCACCCTCTCCTGGTTTATTAGATTACAATCTCCACTGCAGAAGCATCCCTCTTCTTCGTTTGAGGATTTCCCCATATAACAGGACCAGTTCTCTACAGAGAACCCTTCTCAAGAAATACAAGACCAAGATAAAGAGTTGAGAGCATGCCTGCAGAAAACCTATCCCCCAAAGATTCCCTCTGCTCACAAGGGGCAAGAAGAGAGAGACAGCAGGCAATCCAAGCACAAGGACATGACCGTTTGCCGACCTGCTCATGTTTTAGGGCCAGGGTGACCGAAAGGGAGGATAAAGGTGTGGGAAGCCACGCTCTTTTTCTCAAGCGAACAAGACTCTGCACTGTCACCTCTGCAACAGACCGACCCAGGTGACAGGTGGAAGGTGGGTGGAAAGGGCTCTCGGGCACTAATCTGATTGACATACATACTACCACCTGAAGAGCCGTTTGCCCACCAAAAACTAGTCCGGACGCCTGCCCTCCTCTCAACACAGACACGAGGCAGCTCTCCCAGTGACCAAACTTCAAAACTGAAAGACTCAATGGAGAAACAATGTCGGATCACTCCCTGCTGCTTCATGCTATTAATGCTTGCTGTTTCTTCTTCTCATAAGCCTCCTCCACCAGAGCTGTGCATTCGCCCACCTGGGTCAGTCCAGATTATCAGATCAGCCCTTTCTCTCCACAACCAGAACCTCTGCCCAATGACTCAAGTATATAATCAGCAGCAGCAAGCTGTTGCCCTGTTCTTCCCAACACATCGCAGTCTCACCAAACTGGGTGGCATTGGCCAACTTCAAAAGATCTCATTACTCAGCCCACTCGGAATGAACTGCATGCACAAGGTAGTGCAAATCTAGAATTACCCCAAGGCAGAGAAAAAAACACAGAGGAAAAATAAAATGAGGAGCGTAGCATGCACCTGAGAGGCAACTCAATTCTTTCCAAGTCTTTGCCTGGTTTTAAGGCAAGTAACTTGAAATCCAAACAGGAAATATGAAATACCAGCTGCTAAGATTTAAAGATCTGCAGAAAAAAGCAAGACCTTGTGACTGAAGCCATTCTCTGGAGTACCAAACACAAGAATGAGACATGTCCAGGAGGCAGACCGACCCTCACTTGCCCACTGCCAGCTCCCTCAGATCACGCTCCTAGCAGAATCTGCCCAAATTCAGATGCTGGCGTGCTCTGACCACAAATGCACTGCTATAAAGCTCCCACCGCGCGTATTATGTTCTCACGTTCACCGTGATTCAGAAACACAAGGAAGCGTGGGCAAGTCTAGACCTGAATGAGATTAGGACGTGTTCTTTTTAAATTCACCAAGCTGAAAGAACCCATGCAGAAACAACAAAATCACAGAAGGAAACAGACTATCAAGAGGGAAGCGACTGAACAGTGTTCCTCCAGGACTAGGACTCAGGAACACTAGCCTCCCTCTATTATCCTTTTATGGAAAACCATGAGACTTCCACCCCATTTTCAGCATTTTCCTTTCCCTTTCTTGGGACTACGCACAAGTGAAAATGCGACAGCACACCCAGAGGATGGTAAAGATAGCTCTCAAACAGGCAATCAAGACAGGAATCTACGGTTCTTCCCAGCCACACCAATAAGCCTAGGGAATCTGAGGGCCAAGACCCTCCGCTGTTCTGAGTTCACACCAACAGCCTGACGTACTCACAACCTTCGGCTCCTCCACAACCATTCCACTATTAAACCCAGCTTTGCAGAGCTGCATTTCCTTACAGCTTTTTGTCAGTTGATAAGCTAAAATGAAAAAAATGTGACAGCAAAAGGAGCTAAGAATAAGCCTACCTGGGGAGAAAGTAAGATCACTCACTTCTAAGCATAAATCTATCCCCGACTCCCCTCGGAACTTAAAAGGAGAGCAGGGGTGGAGTCAGACTGGGAGTGGGGAAGGAGGCACTGTCAATTGCGATGAGCATTATCAGGCCTTATTCCCTTCCGTTGACCAGATTCAAGAATAATTTCGTAGGAGACAGGGACTGGGGGCGGGGGGGGGGGCCGGGGGCGAGCGGGCCCCAGGGGAAAACA